GGGGGGGGGCTGCGCGGGGGGGCGGGCTGGGCTCTAGAGAAGCAGGGGAGGACGCAGGAAGGCCAGCGCAGGCGGCAGTAGGAGTCTGAGAAGGCGCCTGACTGCTTTGGGAGGCAAGCACAGCAGTACTGGCTGAGAGGCGTCACCTCTCTGACCTCAGCATCCTCACTAGCAAAGGAAGGCGTATCAACATGACCTGCCTTGTATTTATGGCTGAGTGAAGAGAAAACGTGACCCTGTATGCAAGATGCCTCAGCCAGCACCTGCACGTGTACACTGTCACCAGCACCATCATCACTGCCAGCACCTGTATGGTTTACGCTGAGAGCTCAGAAAGGGATCCTGGCCCAGACCCGCAGGTGTCAAGACCATCTTGCGGCACTCTACTGGCAATCACGGCCACCCCTGCGGCCACCCACTGTCCCTTCTGTCCTTCCTGAGCTCCTGCAAGGAGCTGGGCATGGTTCTGATCACTGGGGACATGCAGCAAACAAGACAGACAAGCTCCCAGGTTGGTGCAACTTACACTCTGGTGAATGAAGAGCTAGCAGGCAGCTTTCAAAATGTCTTCTATTCTTTTTGGAACTAACCTGCAATTTGGGTTCAACCCAAGTGCCTTCTGAGAAAAAAATAAAAAAGCAATGCCAAAGCCCCAGTTATCTGTGTAGTAACTTTGCAAGATGATCTCAGCAGACACATCCAGATTCCCTTGGCTTGCTCTGGGATTGGGACGGGAGCCAGGAACGGACAGGAGGCCGGGAGAGCATTTCCAGCCATCCTGCTGCCCAGCTGCTTTACGAAAAAGCAATGGAGTGAGGTCCACGTTGCAGAATAAAACAGGAAGAAAAGGACAAGAAGAAACCCAGAGCTTTGCTGCGATGTTTTTCTCCTTGTTGAGTCTGAGGTGTGAAAACGTAAGCAAAGGTGACACCAACCAGGTGACCTGCACCTCCTGAATGTCTCCGAGCAGAAAAGGTTCCCTCAGTTTTGCGTTTCATGCTAATTTCACCGCTGCTTTTTCTGCAGCAGGTCTTTATTCCCTCACCTCCCCTGTGTTTATCAAGCCTTCAGCTGACAAGGCACACTTTTATCTGACCTAAGGATGAGACGTTTTCTTCCCTCTTGGGAAAGGGTATATTGCAATGGAAAACTCCTGGGCTTCTGCATCTGACGGGAGCTGGGGCTGAAGCCCCAGTCCCACCACCAGCTCCAGAGGCACGGCTGAGCCACCCAGGCTGTGAGCCTCCATCTCTGCCCAGAACGTCTGAAAGCGACGCCCACTGGGACATCTCAACGAGGATGCCAACGTGTGCTCTCTTCCTGCGAAAATGCGTTCAATTGTACACACACTGCTAAGGGTGTCGAGGTCCTTGTTTCACACTAGAAGGCTAAACCCCACAAAACACTACCTGCAGAAACCGATCTCTGGCAAAAGCTTTTATGCAAAACACAGCTGTCTTTTTTCTTTCCTTTTTTTTTTCTTTTTTCCAAAGTGGGAAGGATCTACGAAGCTCCAGTCAGATCTCAGGTATCTCCTGGAGAAGGTGTGTTCCCCTCTCGGCTGGACGGGACTCATCCTTCATGAGCAGCCTGGGTCCCCCGTGACCAGGAAGCCTGCTCGGACCCTCCCGCATGGGACACAACGCGGCTGCCCCTCCAAGGGCCACGCACTGCACTCAGGCCCTGGTCACGGGCATCCTGGACCCGCAGGTCTGCTGCTTCTATCAAGGCGGGCTCATTTTGAGAGAAGGGGCTCTGTCTCACTTAGGCTGGCATTCCCAATGTCTAGCACATAACAGCGACTAAAAAAAAGTTTGATGAAAGAAAAAGAGGAGGGAATGAAGAGATAAATTCGACCTGAAATTCCCTATGAGAAAAAAAAAAAAAAGGTGTGAATGAAAAACAGAAGGAAAGAGACTAGGCCATCACATGAGAAAAGTAAAGCCTTGTGACAAAGTTTTCCTAGTCCTCTGCATAGATTCCTAAAATCCTCAGGGATGGGGAAGTTTTAAAAAATAAAAGAGAGAGAGGGCTTCCCTGGTGGTGCAGTGGTTAAGAATCCGCCTGCCAATGCAGGGGATACGGGTTCGAGCCCTATCCGGGAAGATCCCACATGCCGTGGAGCAACTAAGCCCGTGCGCCAATAACTACTGACTGAGCCTGCGCTCTAGTGCTCGAGAGCCGCAGCTGCTGGGCCCACACACCTGGAGCCCGTGCTCCGCAACAAGAGAAGCCACCGCAATGAGAAGCCCGTGCGCAGCAACGAGGAGTAGCCCCCACTCGCCACAACTGGAGAAAGCCAGAGCGCAGCAACGAAGACCCAAGGCAGCCAAAAATTTAATTAATTAATTAAAAAAAAAAAAAAAAACCCAGAGAGAGAGAGAGAAAGAAAAAGAGCATCAGCTAAAAGCCATGCCTGCAGCACAACACACCCCAGCCTCACCAACTTCCTCCAACTCTCCTGGTCACTGGACTGTCCCCCTCCACTCTCCCCCCGTCCCATATCAGGTCCCGTTTTCCCCGCAAACAAACGTTTGGGGAACTGAGGAATCTCTGAAGCTCTGAAGCCAGGGGAGCTTACCGAGCCGTCAAAGCCAACTCACGAAATGCAATCACCCTCTGAGAAGCCTTTCCTGATGAAGCCAACCCAAATATCCGCATGCTTACAATGCTGTACATAGATCAACTATACCCCTTCCTCCCTATTAGTTTCTCCCTTCTAGAACTTAAATTCCTCATGGAGAGAATAGATGAGGTGGATTCGGTAGACCAGAGGAGACCCAGCACGCCTGAGGCCAGGTGGGGTTATTCATGGTATCCTGGCAACATGAGACTATTTAATAATAGTAATTACATCCCAGGTACAGAGAAAGGCACTGCTGAAAAGATCAATGAGAGAAACCAGTCTTTCTTTCCATGGGTTTTATCAAACGGTTGGATTGTTTCAGGTTATCTTCATGGAACTGTCTTTCTTCTCTGATTGCTGTTTCTTGCCATATTGCCCCTGCAGAGTTCATTCGGACGTGGGAAATAAAAGGTTTATCACCCGATTTCTCAAATAGCTGCAAATGAGGTTTTTACACTAATATACTTCTCTTGAAAGAGCCATGTTCTGTGAGAATTTTAATACGTATTTAAGAGAACTGGATCCAAATTCAGAATCACAAATCCCTCAAAATACAAATTGTTCTATGTTCTGTGGTATTTTTGTTTGCTTTTAACTTGAGCCTGCATCTCCAGAAACACAATCTCTGCACACTTTTTAAGGAAATCTGACCACTCCATTTCTGGGAATATTGACTCTTGTCTTCCGAGTGACCCCAACAAGATGGCTCATGTTTTCAGCATCTGCCCACACACACACACACCGAGAGTGAACTCTGGCAAGAGCTGCTGGTAATGGAAGTTGCAGGCCAAAAGGACAGAAACAAATTTGGTGGCGATCCTTGAAGAAGTGTCTGTCAAGTCCTGTACTGGCCCAACCAAGGCCCAGGCTTCTCATACCTGACAGAGGGGGTGCCTGTGACTTACACTGAGGCCACGTTTCAAAATACTGAACACCTGGGTAATAGGTTTAGGACAGTACGGGAGAAGAGGAGTTTATATGAATAAAAGACTTGGCATCTGTTTTACAAAGCAAGTCATGACAGAGAGTTGTTAGAATTTTCACCGAAGGAATCCTAAGACGTGATACTAATAAATCACAAATTTCAACTGTTCGTTACAGTTCTGAAGAGTGCGTTTATATGGCTTTTTCATTCTAGCTTTTTGACCATTCTGATCGGGATTATTTCCACTCGACAGATAAACGGGAAGGAGTTTGCTGACCGAAAATATCATAATGAGTTAAAGGCATTCTCAGAATATACTCCAGATTTCCAGACTTTTCATTCAATCTTCTGGCTCTAACACGCTATCATCAAGATAAAGAAGGGCTGTTCCTTTTACCACAGTTCTTTAAGAGGAAGAATCTACTTCAGTCATAAAGATGTGGCCTTGACAAGGTGAAATAAAAAAAAACATGATGACAGCATTGACTTCTTACACATAAAACTATGATTTCAAAGTTTTCAATCATTTAGA